CTAGCACTAGGATCCATACATGTGCTATAGCAGCCCCCTCGCATAAGGACCCGAACATGCATGTCCACCTCCGTTACACAGACGAGGAAAATGTGCCCCGGAGTGAATACATGATCTGCTGAAATTGCACAGGCACCTGGGGCCAGGACTGAGATTGATGCCCATGTGTGTTTAGATCGGCAATTCCTATTGTTGACCCTACCAAGCTCCTTTGGGAGGAGGTAACAACAGTATTTAAACCAGAACGTCTGACAATCAGCACCAGTTTTACATCTCTTCTGGGCAATAATTTCCATCTTGATCAAGTACTCTGAGCACCCGGTAGGATGTTCAATGGAGTTAGAAGACTGGTTTAAAAATCATCCCCACAACAAACTTTTTATGAATTAGAAAATTTTCATCAAGATGTACCTATGTAACTTTGGTGGAAGACACTCATGTCCTTGAGTCAAGCTAAAACACCTTGAAATCGAAGACAATCGGAAAACCAGAAACAGGGGAGAGAATGAGAACATTTATGAGCACTGGTCTGGAACAGGTAGGTTGAAGGGCCGAATTGTCAATTGAGCGAAACCTCAATTACAGCGTAATCTAATGTATATCCAAGTACATTATCGCAACTCGATAAACAGCTCTTTGGAATTAAGTAATTCCAATTTGCTTTCATTTCGGCCCGTGTGTCACCCTGAGAATTTGATATTACCTGCACTCAAATTAGGCGGCACCTTCTGGAGCTCTGATCTTCACTATCTCAGGATCGCACAGGAGCCGCGAGCCAGCCAGCCGTGAACGTGGCTGTTTGGGGGGAGACAGAGACCCAGCCTGGGCCTCTGCTGCTCCGCTCAGTGTAAGCACCTGCCAGGGAAATCAGGACTGGGGCCTCCGGCTCCCGGCACCCAAGGGTGCTGTGGGACCCTGTGACCTCCCAGCTGCAGCAAGGTCAGAGTTCTGCATGAGCCTTGCCAGGGGAAGGGGTGGCCCATGCGGCCACATGGCTGAGGACAAGCAGGACCAGCTACATTTCCTTTATCCCAAGATTCCTGCATGAGCTTTCCTGACTCATCGGTGGTAAACACAGGAGGGCACCCAGAGAATTCTGACCTGTACGGACCCTGTGCCCTAAATGTTCCCAAGCCCGCCCTTTTATATTTCCTCCCCGCTTTCCTTCTGCCCAGCACATCACTCCATGGGGAGGGAGCCCCGGCCAGACCCCACTTTGCAAAGGCCTTAAATGATTCCTCCACGGCCACAGAGACCTTAATCAAATTGGCACCTGGGTCAGGTGTCCTACCCCCGCCCTTGGAGCCCTTCACCCACTTTATTTCCTTGCCTAAGAGATTCCACCCCCATGGGCAATTTATTTGTTTTATTTAACAAACATATTTCAGCACAAAAACCAGGCACTGTTCTAAAGAACTCCTGCATCCACTAATCCCATGCGGTCCTCACAGTGCCTTCTCAGGGAAGCAATCCCATACTCCTCCTCCTAGATGAGCCAGCGGAGGTCCCGAGAGGTTTATATCATGTTTGAAGTCACACCGTAGGGACAAGATGGGTCTGGGATTAAACCTGAGCATCCCGGACCCAGAGCTCTCTCCTGTCTCTGACTTGGAACCGAGTGGAGGAAACCTGTGTGGAGGGAAACCAGGCAGGGACGGTTTCCCTCTGTGATGCCCAGGGTCGCCGGTGCTCCCGGCCCCTCAGCTCTCCCGTCTGGGTGACGCATAAACCTGCCAGCACTTGGGAACACGACATTGGGGCCACAGCCCATCCCGCGGGCAGCACTTGACCTTTAAGAATCCTTTTCTTTTTTTCTTTTTTTTGGTCTTTGTTTTTCAGATTTTTCTCCCTTCTCTGAAGGAAGATTAATATTTTCCCCTCTGCTTCTGTTTTTACGAGTACAAATACTTCAGTATTAAGTACTTAAGCATCCTGGCTCAGCAGAGGTAAAGGGCTCTTAAGAGGTAAGTGAGTCATTCTTCATCAGACAGTTTCCCTCAAACGCTCCAGTCTGCTGCCTTCGAATGGGTCCCTGGGCACACACTCCACGGCGACCGGTTTCCTCTGCTTCTGGGTGCCCCTGCCTTTTATTTTCTTGTTTTGCTTGTAGGAGAATGTGTGTGTGTGTGTGGGGGGGGGAGGTTAAATGTGTTTCGCCAGGAACCTAGAAGTTGGCTGAGAGTTGGACAGGGGCAGGCATGGGTCACAGACAGGCCCAGGGACTCCTGCCACGAGCCCTAGCTGCTTGCCTGCTCTCTGGGCCCCTCGGCACCGCTCGTGACACTGTGATACCAGGAGCCAACAAGACCACAACCTGCAGGCCCTCCAGGTGTAGCTGAAATATTAGCAGCATGAACCAGACCCAGGTCAGACTCCAGCTCTGCCCCCGCCTCGGTCATCCAACCAAGGATGACCCTCGGTTTCCAAAACCGTGCCAGTTCTCTGAGCCGTAAAATGAGTTATAATAAAATAAAGCCAACGTGCAGAGCTGTAATTACGATCAAATGGGATAACATATGTGAAGGGACTTCTCTACATTCGAGGGACCAAGGTCCTAGCTTACTACCATCTGAATATTAAAAAGAGGGGGAATGGACACTAATAAAATTGATAACCTATACCAAAAATACAGACATATCTCATCAAGGTGTGATAAAAGGAAACAGGTCACCGGGAATCCAACCCACCACTGCCACTGTGGAGACCTAGATCACCTGGCACCTCCCTAAGCTGGAGCAGGCCGGGCTGCAGGTGAGGGGCTTCAGAGCAGCGGGAACTGCAGGGACATACCGACCAGCCCGACTGCGCACCCAGGGAGGAGGCTGCACAGCTAGCAAAGGACAGACCACTCTCCAGGTAAACCGTGGCTACCTCTCCTAACAAAGGCAATAATCCTTCACCACATTCTCTGCCCCAGTAGCCTCTGGATTTGTCTTCCCATGGCTCCCTACCTTGCAAATGAACAGGGAAAAAAAGGAAAAAAATAAAAATAAAACAAGAGTTTTCTGGTTCCATCTGTTGGTGCGAGAGGCCAAGCTCACAGAAGAGGTAGAAGGAGTGTCTCGGGGGCACAGCTCAGAAAATTACACATTCACCGAGCACCTGAAAAGCCTGCAAAGGCCACTGTGTCACACAAACCAATCTTACGGCACCAAAAAAGCACAGACGAGCCCCACACGATCAAAGCATGAGCAACAATACCAGCCTCATGCGATCAAAGGGATGACTTATTTTCTATATGCATGGCACTCCATGTAAACAAATTTAAAGATGGATTTTTTTCCTATTGTTTCGCTCATGATTAATTTGTTGATCTTTTGCATAAGGGTTCATGGCATTCTTTAGTCACTGAAATGAATCCCTGCTGAGGCCAATAACTCATTCGCTCATCCATCGTTCCACAGCTTCCTTCAAGGTTGAGCCTTAGCAAAGGACGGACCCTGCGGGTCAGAACAGCCGACACCGGCCATGTCACACAGCTCTGCGTCCTCAGAACCAGGCACTCCAGTAAGCTCGACGCCCCTCCTCTCATAGAGCTTATGTCCTACAAGGGGAGATGGAAAATGACCCGGTAAACAAAGACAGGTAAACTGTCGCTTTGAAGTGGGATAAGAGCCATGTGGAGAGGAGACATGGTGATGTGATAGAAAGTGACCACCAGGAGGGGGAGAAGGGGACACAAGCAGAGAGGTTCTCTAGGAGAGGATGACATGATGACATTTGTACTGAGACACGAATGACAACACGTCATCAGCTACCTGACTATCCACAGAGTCAAGACGGGCGGGATAGAGAATCCCAGACAGAAGCCCCCTGTCTGGTCCGGTCAGGCGCCCAGGTACACACGGCCAGCAAAGAGAGCTCAGGGTTTTCCTGCCAACCCACCCCTTGCCCAAGAAAACCAACTCAGGGGAACCTCGGGGGCTCGATCAATGTTTTTTTCCTTCAAATGCACCGGGTGTCATTCTCCGGGTTGCATGACACAGACAGCTTCATTATTTCACTCACCAAATTATGCTATATTAAAATTTTAATCAGTGAACATAACATTGGTAAAACGAGTACATCCATACGCCGCTGTTGCCAGTGTAAACTGTCAAGCCGTTTTTTGCAAAAGCAATATTGCAACACAAAGAAAAATCCATAAAGATGCTCATATTCTTTGACCTATCAAGTCTACCTCCAGGGAATTTATCCTAAGGAAATAATCTGGTTTAGTGGAATAAAAATGTTCTCGTCAGAAGAACTGCACAGAGGTGTTAATTGTTACATACACAAAGGAAAGAAAAGACAAAAACACCTGGAATTACCCAAATGACTGCAAATAGGAGGATTTTTAAAAATAGGATAATTCACTTGATGAAATAGTATATGACCATTAAGCATGATAACAAAGATTATATGGGGTTTCAAAAAATAAATGGAATATCCAGCTTCTTAAGAGAAGCAGAAGAGAAAATAATGTGCATATTTTAATGGAAAGCATGTAAACAGTATCTCAAGGTGAGCAAGAACAAGAAAATTGAAAAGAATTGAATCAAGGACAGTGGGGTTGGGATTATTTATTTCAAAAGCCCTGAGAAAATATTGTCATTGTATTGAGTTTTCAATTAAAAATCCCTCGGAAACAACAGTATGAGAAAACTGCAATCAAGTGTCACCAAAACACAAGGACATTTGTTCGTTTTAGCTTTAAATACAAAATAAGAGCAAATTTGGGGATGCCTTCTGTGTTATACAGCCCACAGGCTTACACATATGGCTCCTGTATGTGAGACTCAACTTTGAATAATATGCAGCGTTGCATGATTTTACCATAGTATCCCCTCTTTGGAGGTTTGTGTTGGGGGCAGGAAGGCAGGGCAATTGGAAATTCATGTCTTCTTCTACTGGATGGGCGAAGATGCAGTAGATGAGAAATAGGGCTGAGTAGGGAGGGCTGTGGAGGAGACCCAGGAACTACAGTCACTGGGGAAGAGGCACAGGCTGGTGGCACTCACCTTTCACGATCAGCTCCGCGTAGTTGGACACACCAGACCCACCGTCCGAGCGGATCACACAGCGGTACTTGCTGACGCTGCGCTGGGCAGTGTCCGCCACGCTGACCGTGGCCGAGAAGCGCCTGTGGTTGACCACACGGGTGACCATAAGGGCCGTGTCCCTGCCATTCCATTGCTGCAGAAGAGAGGGAGAGAAGGAGAGGAGGAATCACAGCGTCATAGGCTCCCAAGTGACCCCCAGCACGGAGGTCCGCCCATCCTCACCCCCTGAGGCCCAGAACTTTCCATTGAAGAGAGTTTCCATGGTGGGTGGGTTAAAGATCTGACTCAAGAATGAACTTAGCTGGTGTGCCGATTCAAAAGGGCAGATGCCCAGTGGTAAGAAGAGAGGGCAAAGGTTCCTTCTAAACACCAGGGCTGAGCCTGCATTGGGGGTTGGCATGCAGCCCCTTAATCTTCTTCCCTTCTATTTTCCTTTATGCCTTATGCAGAACACAAAGCATTCACCCAAAACAAACTTGGCTGATGAATGAAAAGCCAGCCCTAGGGAGTGAGGGTAAACAGCCCGGCTCCCAGCCCCCACAGCCTCTGAGCCTCACCTGCACCAAGCTATCTCCACAGGTAGGAAGTGGATGGGGGCTTTTCAACACCTCTCTTCATTGTCATGTGCTTTTTTTTCTTCATTTTTTGCAAATTTTTTTATTTCAGCATATTATGGGGGTACAAATTTTAAGGTCACACATAATGCCCTTGCCCCCACCTCATTATGTATGTATATACCCATGTGTTCTTTTCTCTGCCTGGAATGTCCTGTCTCCCTGGGGACACCCTAGGAGTGTTTCCCTTGAAAATGCATGTTCAGCTTGCCATAATCTCTAGCAAGTTCCCATGACTGTCAGACTGCCTTCTGGAAGTTCAGCATGCCCTTATGTGTGGTGCAAACTTTCCACACACTTGCACCTTCAGGGGTTTCCCACTGTGGATTATGAGTCCCCTGAAAGCAGGACTTCCCTCTCTTCATCTCCAGAACCTTGCCTGGAACCTTCCCAACTCAGTAGATGTTTCTATAATCAAGGTGAAGGCACATGGGCTTTTGTCTTTAGCATGTTGAATTTTAAAAGTGATATGCAGAGTTTGAACAAGACCCTCTCACACTTTCGAGTTATGACAACTGGTAGGGTGCATGCGTGTGGATGCAGTTCGAATGGATATTTATTGAGCATCCAGTATGTGTCAGCCCCTGAGTTGAGTGTTTTTATATAAATCTCCTTTTTTAATCTTCCCAGCCTTGTTTGGGGTGTGTTACTGCTGCTCTTCTCAGAAGAAGAATTCAAATACCAGAGAGGTTAAATAAATATGTAGGACAAACGAGTCCCTTATCCAGGTTTTCAAACTTCAAGACCTTATCCTCAGTTCCTGCCTTAATTCAAAATTGTTTTACCCAGAAATGGAGTGTTTTAATTGTCTGCTCAGACTTAGAGAAACCTTATAACTTATGATTCTCACACCCTGAGTCTTCCTCTTCCTTTCCTATACCAAGTAAACAGTTTCACCACATGCACAACCTGCTTTCACCCTTGTCATGGTCCATCACCTCCTTCAGTGAACCTTCAGGATGGGGACAGAGGAGTGGGTGGAGCCACGGTGCTCATCTGTACCGCAGCAAATGACGGCAGTGGGTGTGAAGCAAGAAATACGGGGTAACCCAGGCACTCGTTGGAGGGCAGCCAACAGAGACTTGCTCCAGACTAGACAGGGAGAATCCTAGCATTCTCTGGGCTTTCTGCCTCAAAAAGATATGGCCTCTATACTTAAAAATAACATATTCAATGGTATTTTTAAAAAAGCCATGGCAGCAAGAGAGGCAGCCATAACCCCCACCCCTGCCGAGAACTATCCAATATGACCAGACACAAACCAATACAAGGAAATGGAAGGGGAGAAAAGTCACTAGGGCTGAAACTGTCAACCACCTGCCTCACACCTGGATGCATTTTTGCAGGACATGGTACAACTTGGGTCCTACTATGAGGACCTACCAGACACTACACATAATGCCCCTTCCCCAAACAGGGCAATGAGGAAGGAAAGTTTGGCAAACACCAGGAAAGTGTCCTGATTTGGAGAAGAGCTCAGCTGAATGTATGGAAAGGGCTTGGAAAAGATGGGTCACAAAAAGGAGCCCCTTTTCCCCTGCCAGGCACTGTGGGCACAGGAATGAGCAGGTGATGAGGCTTTGGGTAGAGATTTTCTAACCTGAGTTATTCATAGCATGAGAATCACTTTTATCTTTTCTTTTTTTTTTTTTTTTTATTTTGGCATATTATGGGGATACAGATTTTAAGGTTTCAATAAATGCCCATTTCCCCCCTCCCCCCAAAAGTCTGAGTCTCCATCATGACCATCCCCCAGATGGTGCACATCTCACTCATTATGTATGTATATACCCACCCCCCTCCCCCCTCCCCCCTCCCACCTGCCCAATACCCTATTACTGTAGTACCTATGTGTCCACTTAGGTGCTAGTCAGTTAATACCAGTTTTCTGGAGAATATATCTGGTGCTTGTTTTTCCATTCTTGGGATACTTCACTTAGTAGTATGGGTTCCAGCTCTAACCAGGAAAATATAAGATGTGCTATATCACCATTGTTTCTTAGAGCTGAATAGTACTCCATGGTATACATATACCACATTTTATTAATCCATTCTTGGATTGATGGGCACTTGGGCTGTTTCCACAGCCTTGCAATTATGAATTGTGCTGCTATAAACATTCGAGTGCAGGTGTCTTTTTTGTAGAGTGTCACGGGGATCATTTGGGTAGATGCCCAGCAATGGGATTGCTGGATCAAATGGTAGATTCAGTTGTATCGCTTTAAGGTATCTCCATATTGCTTTCCACAGAGGTTGAACTAGCTACAAAGCTTCTGCACAGCCAAAGAAATAGTCATGAAAGTAAACAGACAACCTACAGAATGGGAGAAAATTTTTGCATCCTATGCATCCGATAAGGGACTGATAACTAGAATATACTTAGAACTCACGAAAATTAGGAAGAAAAAATCAAATAACCCCATTAAAAAGTGGGCTAAAGACTTGAACAGAAATTTTTCTAAAGAAGACAGAAGAATGGCCAACAAACATATGAAGAAATGCTCAACATCTCTAATCATCAGGGAAATGCAAATCAAAACCACAATGAGATATCACTTAACCCCAGTGAGAATGGCCTTTATCAAAAAATCTCCAAACAATAAATGCTGGCGTGGTTGCGGAGAGAGAGGAACACTCCTACACTGCTGGTGGGACTGCAAACTATCTTTTCTTTCTTTTTTAAGCTAATAGCACCTTAGCACTATTATGTGCTAAGTGTTATATATGCCTTCTCATTTATTCCTCATGAAAACCCATGAGGCGGGCACACTTTTTATCTCCATCGTTTGAACGAGGAAGATGAAACTCAGAGAAGCGAAATCACCTGCCCAAGAGTGCACAGCTTGGGAGCTGCACAGCTGGGGTTTGAACGCAGGGCATCCAGCTTCAGGCCCTGCCCTCAAAACCCCAAGTGTGCTGCTCTGCTGTGGACTGACTACTCCCCCATCTCTCCTGCCTCTACCACTCGCATTGCCCGATGTGGGACAGCATGAGCAACAGGTGTGACACCAGGCTCCACCTTTTTGCTCCTGATTCCTTACATGAGGACCAAAAAAAGACGTGTGGGGGCAGGGCTGGGGGGGGGGGAGAAGAAGTGGAGTTAGGAATGTTGTGTAAGGGTTGGAGTGAAATAAGGGAAAAAGCACGTGGCCCGATCACACAGCCGGAGACACAGGGCTTGGCCTCTGACGTCCGAGGTTTCGAACAGCCACGAAATCCAGGGGATTAAAAAAAAAAGGAGAGATCAAGAGCAATGCCAACACATGGGCTCAACAAAACATGCGCTAAGAGGAGAGTGGACAAGGAAAAGTACCAGGAAAGAAAATAAACCTCGAGGAGCCATGTGAATTGTGGAAAACAAAGCCATTTCCAGAATCCAACATGCCGTTACAAGTAAAGAGCAGAACCAATGTCGTGGAAGGTCAGCGACCTGAAGACAGGCTTGAAAAAAATAACCCGATGGCAAAGAAGGCAAAGATGAAAGGGGCTGGAGAGAGGCAAATTGATCAAGAACATGGACAATAGACAATTAACTGTCATGTAAGTAATCAGTGCTCCTGCAGAAGAAAGCAGAATGAATGGAATGCTAATCAGGCTCCAAGACACGTGAAGTTCCTTTCCTGGACTACATTAAGCCTGCATCTTCAGATTGAAGATTGAATTTACCATCTACTTGATAAAATTTATGAAAATCACAATAATTGAGATTCACAAAAATATTGACTGTTAAGGATAAAAAAATAAAAATCTAGGCAGAAAAAAAAAAAACAACAACAATGTACCCCAAAAAAAAAAAAATTAAACCCGTCTGGCATAAAACTCCTCATGTGCAACTGTTTCCAAATCCAAGGTGACCTGCCCTGGATGTGACTGGTCCCCCAGTGGTCATAGGAGGCTACAGTTACCTAGATGCCTATAAGAGGGCAGGGATGGAGCTACAGAAAGACAGGATAGAGGGTGCTAATTAAACAAAAAGGGCAAATGCCCAGTGTGTGCAACCTTTGGCAGGTGATTTCATTTCTCTGAGCTTCAGTGTCCTCATATACACAATGGATTTGATAATGGCATCCACCGTACAAAGTTACCGTGACGAATGAATGAAAAGGCACGTAAAACACTTAGCACACGAGAGCACATTCTGGTGTTAGCAGAGCTCTCCAAATTAACCATGAAATTAGTCATGAATAGACAGGATGACAGCCCCCCAAAGACGCCCACATCCTAGTCCCCAGAACCTGTGGATATGTTACCTTACTTGGCAAAAGAGACTTTAAAGATGTGATTAAATCAAGAGTCTTGAGATTGGAAGACCGTTTTGGATTATCTACCTGGGCCCAATGTAATCAAAAGGTCCCTCACATGTGGAAGAGGGAGGCAGGAGAGTCAGAGGGGGAGAAGGGAGAAGGAGGTATGGGACGAAGGAGAGGTCAGAGTGATGCCACTGCTGGCTTGAAGGAGGAGGAAGGAGCCACGGGCAAAGGAATACAGGCAGCCTTCAGACACCGCTAGACCCTCTAGA